GATATATAGATATAATTTTTATTTTTTTTAAGCAAAAAATGTTAATCCCCTGTAAGGATTGGGAAGAAGGAGTGTTATGTATTAAAGGTGAAAATTGGGGATGTTGATAAGTTCTTATGGCATGTTTTTTCCTCCTAAATGTGTTTATTTAAAGTGCTCTAATGTCTGTACAAAAGTGACCAATAGAAGAAGTATTTTAAAAATCATTTATAAATGAGCAGGAAGGTTTTAAGAACTATTAAATTTGCAGTTACCTGGAGAGAGACAGACTATACTTATTTTATATTTTGTATGTTTTCTTGGACCATTTCTCTTTACATAAAGCCACAGTTAACATTCTGCTGCATGCAGGTGTTTGTCAGTCTAGTCCTGACTAATCTGAGTCCTTCTTTCAGTTGATTGTACATGTATTTTAGAAAGGTGTTGACATGTTATATGTCATCTCACAATTCTTTCAGTGGACAAATGAATCCTTTTGCTTTCCTTCATCCTGAGTGTTTCTGGAGGAGTTTCTATATATTTTGCATGTTTTTAGCTTTACATAAAGCAGTTCAGCAGTCAGCTTGTTAAGTAATCTCATACTAGAAATTACTAAATTGAGATTGCTCTTTGTGAGTTTGTAGCTAAAAGAATTTCTTTTGGATCCTTTTGGGGTTTTGTATAGCAAGATTAAGAAATTTTAACAGAGTTTGTCATGTTCCAAGGCAATAACTGGATAGAGTTTCAGATAAAATGGAGTCTCGGATCATACCAGGAATATGAATTGTGATAGATGATGATGTGAGCAGAAAAAGAGAAGTAGTATAACTTCTTGGCCTGCAATTTAAACATTTTATTATGTGAACAAATGTTTAACATGGTGACATAAACACAATATACCTAGATGATACTTTACAAACAGTTATGTAACATTGGCATATCTTTCTTTGTCAAAGCAGCTACCCAAACTATCCTTATCCAGGTGGTGTTCCATTTCCAGCAACCACTAGTGTCCAGTACTACCCTTCTCAGCCTCCTGTGACCACTGTGGGTGAGTAGCTTTGAAAGGATTTCTCTGAAGTGAAGCTTCCCTCTATGACTGATAGGTAAAGAAATAAAAGGGAAGGAGGAATGTGTTGTTCTCAATCCGAGCTTCCAAAGTACTGAGCTTCGATTCAGTTATTAAAAGGAAGAATAAAATACATCTTACATCCTTTGCCTTGTATTATATCCTTTCAGGAACTGGATACTGGATACATTCCTGGTTTTGTGCAATACATTGTGTGTGCTCTCTGTATATTTTGAAGAAAACTGCATGTAACTACATGTGGTTTTTCTCACCCTTGAGTTGTAGGTGACTTTTGATTGTCTGCATTGCTCTGTTTGTGGTTGAGAAAAATACTTTTGTCATTGTTTAAACATCTACTGGCCTCACTTGATTTACTCTTTATTTACATTTTCTTTACTCCAAAAGTAGCTGGCCAAAGCAGAGGTTTCCAGTGCGTTTGGAATGAGCTTCATTTTTCCTGAGTTTCTCCTCGAGCCTCTTCACTGTGACTTCTTATAGGTCCCTACTTGTCACTTTCTCCTTTCTTCCCTTCAGCAGCAGGATCTAGTATATGGACACGTGTCTTTTCCCAGTCAGCTGCTCAGTGGGCCTTTGCTGACACAAAACACTCACTTGGTTTCCACTGTGCCCCTCACTTTTAGTGTATGTGTAGGAGACTGGGAAGGAGTGATAAGTACTGAGCTAAGTAGGAAGCTGGTGCAGTAGCTTTCCAGCTGCTTGGTAGTCCTTTTGGCACAGTTACAGGGTGGGGATGGAGTAGACTCTCTTGTGATGTTCACATTATCAATCTGTTGTAGACTCTTGCGCTGTAATTGAAAAGTGCATCCCTAGGTTCTTCATGTAATGTGTGAACTCCTGGTTATTTAGATACACTCTGTGAAAGATGATGATGTGAACAGAAAAAGAGAAGGAGTATAACTTCTTAGCCTATCCAGAACTTTGTGTATTTTGACATTTTCCTAAACATAAATGGGGACAAAGTTCACAGCTTGGCAAGGGAAGAGAGATGTTTCTACTTTACTCTTAAAATATTTGAGTGGTTCTGTTACTACAGAATTTGGAAACAACAGTAAGTTGTCCCTTGTATTCTTGTGCCTGAGCCCATCCTTTGTGTCCAAGTTCTTTCAGCCTTATGAATTAAAAGTCTTTTCTGAAAGTGCTTGGCTGCTTCAGCGGTCACCTCCACTCTGAGGTGGTATGTCTGCCATGCACACTGCTGCCCCACCAAGTACCTCAGACAGTGCTCACTGTTGTGGGGCTGTAGTTGGGTCCTGGAGAGTTAATGGTCTCCACTGGCTCTTGGGTAGGGAGCTAGTAACCTTTCTAAGGAGTGTTGGCTTTCTGCAGGATCCTTCTCAAACAAGTCCAGTTTTGCTTTTATGTAGTAGAGAGTTAATTTAGAGTACGGATATGTTCCAATTCATTTCTTTCCCTCGTTTTCATCCCCACTGAAGATGAACAGAGGCAGAATATCTGCCAAAGATAGAAGGCTCTTTGAGTCCTGAGTTAAGTCACCTGATACCATGTTGTAATGCCAGATTTTGCAGTGGCAATTTAACATTAGACTGATTCATTGGATGCAGCGGAGTGAAAGTCCTACACCTGTTACACATGGTTTATCTCCTGTGCCAAATGAAATGCAAACATTTCTCTTTAATCATCCACTATATTTACAATAGATATGGGACTTTTTGTTGGGGTTTTTTTTGACGGTACAGTATTTATTTTTTTCTTTCAACTAAAAATGTTTATTTCCTGCACAGTTTGTCTGGTTGTGGTTTATTGTGGTAGTTTATTTAGAAGCATATCAGGTGCTACAACTTCAGTTTTGTGTGGGTGGTGGTGGTGATGTGTTTCCTATAGTGATCTTAGTTTGAATTAAATGAAAAAGCTGATTCAGAGGAGCTTTTTAATAATAGCTGTTTTTTTCAAATAGTCCTTCAGGCTTTTGCTTTCTGTTCAATCATCTGCCATTACTTACCTTTCCGATGCAGTTAGTAGTTTGGAGATTCTCTAAGGTCACTTCTGAAACCAGACTCTGCCTGGTAAAGGTTAAAAGTTTCAGTGCTCCGTGGATTTAATGACCGTGTGCCATGAAATCTTCCCCAGGGTGGGCTAATTATGGAAGTGACAGAAAATGCTAAGGGTTCATGCTCTTTAAGAAGATACATAAAATCTAACTGAGCTGTATTAAAATCATGCTCTATATGTTTAAAGACTTCTTTCCTCTCTGTGAACTCTCGTTGTGTTTGGTGCATTGTCATTTATTTGTCTCTGACCTGCTTTACTGTAAAGTGAGCCTTGTATAAAATCTCCCTGAGGGAGGGATATCCGGGGGAAAGAAAGTAAACATTAGTTCTACTGACATTGGTCCTGTCTGATTCTGATTTTGTTATGGAATAATCAATTATGGAAAGTAAACAGTAACTGAAGTCATGCTGATGCTGTTTTTGAAGGAAAATCAGGTGTTTTCATTTTGATTTAGAACATACATACTTACAATTGTCTGCCTTAAACAGGAAGTCCCAAACAGTGAGTAAACTCTTTATCCCAGATAGTTTGAGTGACTTGGTTTAAGTTTCACTCTCAGTGTGGGAAGTGCTGTCCTTTTCTCCTTTTCATAAGCAGCAGCAGCAGCAATGATGGATGCCTGGGTTTGTGTGTATGGTGCTTTTTGACAGCTTCTGTTGCTGATTCTCACAGTTCACCAAATATTGGAAATGATCTTGCTGACTGGCAACAGGGTGATTTTTTTCAGGCCAGAACTTTCCCTCTGTCTTTCTTAGTTTAAAGTTCTCCTTACCAGACCAGGTAATGTTAAAAAAACCAAACCAAACCAGGAATACCTATAGGCACATTCACTGTCCCAAGCCAGCTGTTACATGAATTGTGGTTGAATACATCTATCCATTAACTCTTCTTCCTCTTTAAAAGGACTCAGACTATGTACTTCAGGGGAAATGGTTGGCCCATTTTTAAATTAGAGAATGGATATGGGACTGTTGCAGTACATGAGTGGATGCATACTCTTAAATTTACTTGTGTCCATCTTAATGTACTTTATCTCATTGTGGTCTCTTCACTGCTTCTGAAAATTCTTAGAGCAGTTTATTTGATTGCTTCCTGTTGCTGAGGTGCATACAGCAAGTTGGCCACTTTTAATTCCAGCTGGCTTTATACTGCAGCCAGTGCAGCTCAGAGTTTAGTCTGATGCTTGTGAAATTTCCTTGTGCAGGACCCAGCAGAGATGGCACCATCAGTGAGGACACCATTCGAGCTTCCCTTATCTCAGCAGTCAGTGATAAGCTGAGATGGCGCATGAAAGAGGAAATGGATCGTGCCCAAGCAGAGCTCAATGCCTTGAAACGGACAGAGGAGGACCTGAAGAAAGGACACCAGAAACTGGAAGAGATGGTAACTCGCCTGGATCAAGAAGTGGTAAGCTGAGATGAACCACTGCTCTGTACCTGAGTGTTCCTAGTAGTGAAGAGAAGCATGTAATTAATGAATTACTAGGCATGATCAAGGCTGCCAGTGCATTGCTCTTATTCTCTTTCCCATTTGGGGTGTGTGTGCTCAGGCTGAAGCAAGTCAGAAATCGCAGTGACCATAAGATGCAGTGTCCTGCATGTGTCTTGCAAGTGTCATTGCTCAGTAGTAGAGGAGCAATATTATTTTTCCCCATCCTTCCTGTGAAAAATGTTAGTGGTGTGAGATTGTTTCATCATTATGTCTCCGTTTCTTGGTAATAATGTGTAACAGCAGCACCGTGGAACATTTCAGTGTCTTAATGCCCAGACACCGATTTTGATCACATTCTCCTTTCCCAGAAGAGTCTCTCCTACTCACAGTATGCTCAGAAATTCCTGCAGTTTTCTATTAAGGCACCTTCTGCTTAGTCTGTCTGCTCCTTACATTGCTGCTCAGGAGGAAGTTTTGGGGATTGATGAGCACTTTGTGAAACCAACTCAGTGCTCAGATATGGTTTAAAAAAACCCCTAGAAATTGTTACTCGGGAGTAGAGAATATTATGTCACTGTATGAACCTATGATGTGCCCACTTAAATGTAGTATATAATTCTAGTCTTTCCTGTCTTGAAAAGAAAGGACATAATAGAACTGATGATGCTTGACGCAAAGACCTATATCAAGAATAGTGTGGCAGTGGGACCAGGACAGTGATCATCCCCCTGTACTCATCGCTGGTGAGGTCACACCTCGAGTCCTGTGTTCAGTTTTGGGCCCCTCACTTTAGAAAGGACATTGAGGCTCTGGAGTGAGTCCAGCCAAGGGCAATGAGATCGGAAAAGGTCTGGAAAACATGTTGTCTGAGGAAGGTCTGAGGGAGCTGGGTTTCTTTAGGCTTGAGAAGAGGCTCAGGGGTGACCTCATGGCTCTCTACAACTCCCTGAACAGTGTTATAGAGAGGTGTGGGATGGTCTCTCCTGCCAAGGCTGCAGGGAGAGGAATAGAGGGAATGGCCGTAAGCTGAGGTAGAGGAGAGTCAGATTAGATGTTAGGAAAAAAACTTTCCTTGTCAGGGTGGTGAGGCAGATTGCCCAGGGAGGTGATGGAGTCACCATCCCTGGAAGTGTTTAAGAGGTATCTGGATCTGGTGCTGGAGGATCTGGTTTAGAGGTTCCAGCAGAGTGACAGGTTAATGGTTGGACTCAATGATCTTAGAGGTCTCCTCCAGCCTTGATGGATTCTAGGATGATCCAGCAGATGAGACAGTTTCCATATAAGACATGACTAAGTGAGCTAGGATTTGAGTCTGGAAAAAAAGACAGTGGGGACAGAGAGTGGAATATGGCAATAGTCTGTATGGCTTTGAGTGGTAGGAGGAGAAACACAGTGTAGAGTCTGTTCTAGTGTGCTAGCTGTGGGACACCAAAAACACAAGGAGGTAAATTCAAAAGTACATCTCACACAGGTGCAGTTGGTTATAGTTCCCATTAGTGGGTAAAAGCTCATTATGTTTCCTGTCAAAACAGTTAAGTGTTTGATCTGTGCTCAGCAAACTTGTATAGGAGTTTACTTCCAAAAACACATTCCAAAGAAAATAATTGTTTTGGCTTTGCTTTTATCATCTTTAGCTAGCTTAAATGGTTATTTTTTCTTGTGTGGCAACTTCCAAATACTTAAAGACTGTTAGAGTGCCTTCTCTGCAGTTATAAATTGGAAATGGATTGACATTATCTAAAACAGATTTTACTTTTGTAAAAGGAAAAGAATATGAAATCTATAGATTGGCAGCTCTTTCTTTTGTAAAAATCGTAACAGATAAGTAGAGAAGTAAAGAATCAACTGGTATGTCTAAAAATCTTTCATCTTTACAGTTGTATCACAAGAAGACAATCAGCTTTTGAGACCTAATAAATAAACATCTTAATTGTTTTTAGGCTGAAGTTGACAAGAACATTGAACTTCTCAAAAAGAAGGATGAGGAGCTTAGTTCTGCCTTAGAGAAAATGGAAAGTCAGTCAGAAAATAATGACATAGATGAAGTTATTATTCCTACAGCACCACTTTACAAGCAGATCCTGAACTTGTATGCAGAGGAGAATGCAATTGAAGACACCATCTTCTACCTTGGGGAAGCACTGAGACGTGGAGTGATAGATCTAGATGTCTTTTTAAAGGTAGGTTTCTTGGAATGCTTCTAAGATGTGCATTTTAAATGTGTTTAACTCTTGTGTTCAGCTTATTAATGTTCGTGATCTATTCACTGAAGAGGATCCTGTAGGAACATGAATACTTTTATGTTCAGGCATAAGGTTTAGAAAGGAATTTCATAATTAAGATAAAAGACCGATTTTGAAAGCTTCATAGATAGGCAGTCATTTATCATTAGACAGGTGCAACAGTGGCAGCATAAGCTTTCCATTGGGCTTGAATCCTAACACTGGAGAAACTAAGGTTGACTGGAGGATTCACAGAGCTTTTCACTTGCAGCCAGTGGAGTGTTAGAGTCTGGAAAGATGAGTCTATCCAAGGGCCACTGAGTAACAAGAGTTCCCAGTCATTCGTTTTTCTGACAGTTGAGGTTCCCCCTAGGTTACCACTTCAGCTTTGTCTCCAACAGCCAGTGTACAATTCACTACGTGGAGACAGATTATTTCCTTCTTGTGTAACTTGCTAGTTCTGTTCAGCTGCTAATAGAACTGTTCTCTGCCCCAGGGGAAGTGCATTAGTCTGATTTCACCTTGGAGTACATATTACTCCTTTGATAAGAATATGTGTGGAGTTAATAATTAAGACCACAAAGAACAAACTGCAGTGATTGCACCTGGTAGCCACCTGTCAGGCATTTTAAGCCACAAAAATGCCTTTTAGCAGACTTATGCGTTTAGTGTTTCCAAAAAACCAACATCCTGTTTGAGTTATGAGATGTGTCACGCTTTGAGAATTTCTACTGCAGTATAATTGAGTTTATATCAAAACTTTCCCAGTCACCAACTGTTCTTACTTTCTCTCTGCAGCATGTACGTCTTCTGTCTCGCAAGCAGTTCCAGCTGAGAGCATTAATGCAGAAAGCAAGGAAGACTGCAGGACTCAGTGATCTCTACTGAACTCTCAGCCTACCTGGGAAGTTAGGCTTCCTTATGAAGCAGCCATTCTCTTGATATTTCTCTTAATCAGTAGGTGCCCAGAATAAGTTATTACATCATTCAAGTGTAAGATATTTTGAATCAATAATATATTTTCTTTTTGGTAAAGACTAGCTTTTATTAATGCACTTTCTATCTCCTGTAATCTTTGTGCTGGTGGACTTAACGCTGAATAAAACTTGTTGCATATTTTCTTCCTCTACAGAACTGTGTATGATGTGCTTTCTTTACCAGCAGCTCCTGGCTTATGCAGGGTCAGCTTAACCATGCTTTAACTTCTGACATTTGAAAGACATGGCAGTGTCCCAAACTGGAAAAACACATTTATTATGACCAGTGAAAACTGACAAATCAAAATTTCAAAGCCCTGCTGTTTGATACAGCTGTTGACACCCAAGAATTCTTTTCTGAAGTGAGTTTAGGGACAGTTACATTGTATTGACTTGCCTGATCTACCATCAGGTAATAGCCATAGTGGAGCTCACTGGAAAATGCCAGGCAAACAAAAAGCTGCTGCGTTTGGTGTTGGACTGCCTGCCAGACAGGGAACACACCAGAGTGCCACAGGTTTCTGGCTGTGTGAGCTGGGACAGAGCTCACAGTGCCAAGTCTGATGGTTAGACACTGCACTGCCTGCAAAGAGGGTATATTGTATGGAGCCAACTTGGAGTGCTGTAGGGATTCATGGTGCTGCTCTTGTCACCTCTCAGCAGCATGCTGCAGTCCTCCACTGGCTTTTGTAGGATGCCTCAGTGAAACTAGCTTGACCACTGAAGGTTCTTGGTCTCAGCACAGTCACATGTGGCTCAAGGCCTTTGCCTTATGGCATTTCCTGTTACTGTTGGGCCTGAAGAGGTTGGAGTTCATATTGAAAAGCTGGGTGAGACTTAAAAGTAGCAACAACTCTAAGTCCAGTGGATCCTTTGAAAGCTTCAAAAATGGCTTCTTTCCATCTTCCTGTGATCTGCATAGCCACAGTGACTATGAATAGTTGTGTTCTATGTGTTCTCTTTCCAGGTGCTGTTTTGGTCACTCGGATATAAGAGAAAGCAGTGCAGTAGCTAGAGCTTTTGCTTTGTCATTGAAGTTGCTTCATGAACACTTTCAGCTTGTTGTAAAATACTTCTGAGTATCACCAGCTGCAGCCCACAGTACCACCACAGCCACCTCGGGCTGAATGAGGTGATCTGTTTCCATTCCTAAGCCACATGCTGGGTCCTAGCATTACAAAATGCTGAGTAGGCCCTTTCCCTCCTCATTGGTATGAGGTATGTTTTAAAGTATTTATGACAGATAAGGTGATTAATTCTTCCTTACCTGACTTGTTCTGGGCTTGGAGGACTAACTTTGGTCAGTTTCAATGCATGGCTGCTATTCCAGAGGAGATGCTTTTTTTGTGCTTGGCAGCAAGCTTTTTGTGGATGTCAGGTACTTGATGTGGAGACATTTCTTGCTATGCACATTTCTGTGTGTACAGGTAAGGAAGACACCTCCTTTGTTGCCTTATTTCTCCATTCCCTTATCATACTGTCAGTAGAGCCTGTTTCTTTGCATTAAGATGGGAATCAAGTTTAAGTTCTGAGTATTTAAACACTTCTGTTACTGTTTTTTCATCCCTACCTTTAGACTGTCAGAAAGTTCACTACATAAATATCCGGAGCCTACAGCAGAGGAGCTGTACACATTACATTATTACACAGGTGATATTTGAGTTAGTGTGACTTGAAAAATATAACTGATTTAGATGGGTCTAAGTAGAGCTGCATTTTGGAGAGAAAGTCCTATAAAGAAAAACAAGGAAACAGAAATAACAGTTTGTGGTTTATTTGGTGTTGGAGCTGGTACTACAGTTGGACAGTCACTGTCTTGTTGCACATAGAAACCTTAACATTTTTTAAACATGCTCAGGAGACAGAGCTTACAACTAGACTGATATAGTACACAAAAATAAGGTTCTCTAAAAAAAAGTATCCACAAAAATTCCAAAGCAGTGTTAGGAAAATACACTTGGACCTATCAACAGTGAAATATTTTAGCTATTCAGCTGGCAGAGAAGGTTGGTCAATTGGCTTGACAATCCTTGAACTGCAAGAAAATAGTCTTTGGTTTCACTTTGTGTATCAATTAGTTACTTATTCTTCTGAACCAACAGGAAACAAGATGAGGAAAAGGCAAAGGGTTTTTAGGCAGTGCTGCTTTGAATGCTGGATTTCTGTCATACCACTTCACTGAACAAGACTGACTAGGTTATCTAGCTCTGGCTAAGAACGGGTGTCTGTGAGCAGGGAAAACCCTAGAGCAGTTTCCTAATGCTATCTTCAGGAAACTCATTTGTTCAGATCTGAGCTTTTTGTGTGTTCTAGTTGAGATACATACATTGAAAGATTTGACTTACTTGGAAAGTGCAACGTAAGACAAACCACTAAACCCGTTAAACTGCAAAGAGCCAAAGAACTGCTTGGGCAGATTTAAAACTGTAGTTCCTTCTGGATTCCCCAGAGTGTATCTGCACTCTTCCTTAATTTGTCCTCTTCCTCAGGTTTTAGGATCATCTTCACTACATCAGTGATACCATTACTGCCCAGTACACAAGGAACACTTAGGAAGACGTCTTCTTTTATTCCATGCAAGCCCTGAAAAGGAGGTAAGGATTGTTAGGCTCAAATTTGTCTGTAGATTTCATAGAATATCCTATCAAGAAAACTCAACTAAAATTAGTTGAAATTAAACTAGAAAGTGATCACTGTTCTTCAGAAATCCCAAGGTTTTTAGTAAGACAGAAGTTAGCAAAAAGGAGCTGCTCACCTTAACAATTGTAGAGATAGGATGCACTCTTCTCAAGTTCTTCATAATGCTTTCAGCTAGATCTCCCACAGAAAGGCCAATAGCCCATGATGTGTACCCCTTCAGTTTGATGACCTCATAGGCACTACAGAGACAGAGGCACTCATTATAAAACAAGTACAGAATCACAGAATCATCAAGGTTGGAGGAGACCTCCAAGATAGAGTCTAACCATTAACCTGCCACTCTGCTGGAACCCCTAAACCCTATCCTCCAGCACCAGATCCAGACACTCTTAAACAACTTCAGGGAAGGGATGATAGGCAACACAAGCAGTGTACTTTTGCTTATGAAATCAATGGTTGAAGGACACTTAATGAGTGGACTTGTATTAGCAGAACAAGGGAAAATTAAGATACAGTTATGTGAATAATCTCCACCACCTCCCTGGGCAACCTATTCCAGTGCCTGAACACCCTGACAGGGAAAACATTTTTCCTAACATCTAATCTGACTCTTCTCTCTCTCAGCTCTCTCTCTCCCTGCAGCCGTGGCAGGAGAGACCATCCCACACCCCTCTACAACCCCTGTCAGGGAGTTGTAGAGAGCCATGAGGTCACCCCTGAGCCTGTTCTCAAAGCTAAACAAACCCAACTCCCTCAGCCCTTCCTCATTTGTTCTAGACCTTTTCTGAACCTCGCTACCCTTGGCTGGACCCTCTCCAGAGCTTCAATGTCCTTTTTTAAGTGTGGGGCCTAAAACTGAGCACAGCACTTGAGGTGTGACCTCGCCAGTCCAAGTGCAGGCAGATGATCATTGCCCTCATCCTGCCAACCCCGCTATTCTTGATCAAGGCCAAGATGCCATGACCTCGCTATTCTTGATCGAGGCCAAGATGCCATTGGCCTTCTTAGCCACCTGTACCATCAGCTGAAATGCTTGAAGTTTGTAAGAAGGGCTTTTGGAGGTGCCTTAATGATCTGGGGGCAGCGGAAGCTTGAGTGATTCGCTGACAAAGCTGAAATAACTCAGCAGTGAATTCTATTTGCATTACTGACAAGGCCGAAATTAACTCAGCAGTGAATTCTATTTGCATTTTACACTACTCCCACAGTTACACTGGAAGCTAAAGCACCTCCCTAATTTCAAGTTTACTAATCATGAAAACTTAACTCTGCCAAACCTACATTACTCCTTAAATACTATTTCAAGTTCTATTATGTTTGCACCCTGACATTTCTTTTGACTGCTATGGTATTTATGAAACTAGATCTGGGTACTGCATTTCAGAAATGCTATAGCTCCTCATGATTTTTCTTGTGTTGGAATTAAAAAAACCACCAGTATTTACCTCTCCACTACCTGCTTATGGACCTCCTTCCAGTGTTCCTTGTCTGCATCAGTTCCCAAGTCTGGATGAAGAGCCTTCAGGGAGACGCCAGCAACATTCACTCCACTCCAGACAGGTACTGAAGAGTTAGACACAGATTACTCTATCTCACAAAGAATACTTAGTTTTATCCTTCCCAAATTCACAGTTAACATAAAATCTACTTGGATTAATCTGCAACATATCACTTATGGTTTAGATACAACTTTAAATATAATATGACCTATGAGGACAGTCTAAATTGCAGGCTGAGGACCTAGGAGCATATAAATATCTTTAGAGATGATACCACGAGGTTTGAATATACCTTTATTGGAGCAAAACACCTAGGCAACATGAACTAAAATGACCATCACTCTCCATTTTGGAAAGTTGCTCAGAGTAAGAGTTGATTCCAAATGCATTCTCTGAGTGCCAGGAAGCACAGTACTGCTCCAGTGCTGCTAGGGCGAGCACAGGTTAAGTAAGGACAAGTTTTCTTTTTCCTGTCTTCTAGATTTGCATAAGGAGAAATTTTCTTTTTCCTGTCTTCTAGATTTGCCTCTGCACTTCAGTTCTTATACAGTAATCAGGAGATGCCAGTAAAGGCAACTGAGTGACTACCGGCAGGTTTAACGCAGATAGAGTCCCTTGCAGAGAACTTTTATCCTGTTGCTGCTTCAGTTTGGTTTTTTTGGGGAGTTATGGGAACAACTTAGCCTAGAAATGTTTAGCCACCTCAGGTTACAGTAATGACCTTTTCCAAGCAGAGTCCTTCAGGTCAAATATAGACCATCTAAGGTTACTCTGTGCAGCAGAAGAGTTAATGCAGGACTTGCATGCTTAAGGTGCTGCAGCACAAACGTTAAGAGCCATGCTTTGCTGTGGCTTTTTGAGGTGTTTCTCGCAAACGAAGTACCAGAAAAAGTTCTGTTGTAAGAGCCAGCCAGATTCCACCCTTACCACTTGAATCTCCATGCTCTCCAACAATCCATCCGTGGCAGCTCAGAGGGTGGATGCCCAGTCTTTCTCCCATGAGGTGGCGGAAACGGGCAGAGTCCAAATTGCAGCCACTACCAATAACACGGTTCTTAGGAAAGCCACTGATCTTCCAGGCCACATAGGTCAAAATGTCCACTGGAAGTAGAACAGAGGGGACAACAAGTGTCACTCATGAGCAATTTGGTAGCTAGGATGGTATCTTCCATTCATCTGTAAGCATTTTATCTCCCTGCCAGTTGCATGGAACAGAGCATAAAGCAATGGCCATGGCCAGGCCCTGCAGTGGCCTAACACAATGACAGTTTCCAACAGGAAACCCAACAGCTCTGCCTCTAGGCTATGCATGCAGTTATCAGTGCCCCTTACTCTGTCCTGCACTAAAGATCACTTGGACTGAAAACTCAAGTTGAAGGGAACTTTATTTCTTGGAAGACCAGACTGCTAAGTGTACAGAGGGAAGATGACACTTCTTGCTATGTAGATACCATAGAATGGTTAGGGTTGGAAAGAACCTTAAAGATCATCTAGTTCCAACCCCCCTGCCATGGGCAGGGACACCTTCCACTAGATCAGGTTGCTCAGAGCCCCATCCAACCTGGCCTTGAACATCTCTAGGGGCATCCACAGCTTCTCTGGGCAACCCATTTCACCACCTTCCTAATAAAGAATTTCTTCCTCATAGCTAACCTAAATCCACCCTCCTTCTGTTAAAGCCATTATGCTTTGTCCTATCGCTACATGCCCTTGTAGAAAGTCCATCTCTCTTTTAGGCCCCTTCAGGTACTGGAATGCTGCTGTGAGCTCTCCCTGGAGCCTTCTCCTCCCCAGCATAATTATTTTCTAAAAGCCTATGCTTGGCCATATTAGCACCCTAGTGCCACCTTACTGAAGAAATGCCAGTCTTTAAGCCAAATCCTCTTAAGGCAGCACAAGACAAACCTGGGTTTGAGACAATAAGCAGCTTGCAGTCAGGACTGTATTTAACAACGTTGGGAATGATGAATTTGAAGATATTCACGTTGCGCTGGACCAGGTTGAGGCGGCTCTCTCCCTCCTGCTGACGGGCACCAGCAGTGACAATCACCAGCTTGGAGTGTGCAGTCACACTGTAATCTGCAGGCAAAAGGCTCTGTCAAACATGACCTCTTTCCACACATGGTTCAGAACAGGAGTTCTCAGCTCCTTTGTGTACTGAGATCTAAAACTCTCGGGTCTGAGAGCACAGTAATTCTCCTGGTGATTGTACCCTAGACTTTGCTTCTACAGGAAGTTAACTTTTCTTTTAATGCTGAGGCTTATTGCCAGAGGTGGCAACCTTGGGGCATATCAACATGCCTTAACATGCAGATGCAGGCAGTGGTATTCCATGCTTCTCGGGCACAGGTGGTAGCTGTTGGGATAGCATTCAGTGCCAGTGCTGCACAGAGGAGGAAGAAGGCTCTGCCTTCATAATCTACTACCTGTGGGCACTGTTGCTGCACAGTAACAAAGATAAGAACTGGTTAGCCTTTGCCCTGCTCGAGGCTGCCATAAACTTCAAGCTATCAGACATCTGCAGCCCAGAAGTCAACAGTAATGTGTTCAGGGGTTAACTGGCTGTGAAATAAAACTCTCAAAGGTGCAGAAGTACTTAAGAAATTAATCTTTCTGCACTAAGTGGTGAACCCTGGAAGATAATTCCTAGCTGCACTGGCTGCAACAAGGTATAGGAAATGACATCAGCTGAGTGGATATCCATGAGCTTTCCTGCTAACAATGAGACTAACAGGCTAAGTGCTAGGCTTGGGTAACCAATGTGAGACCTGGAGTGGCTGTCTCCATTTGGAAATAATGAGCATATTAGAGCCATACTTGCCTTTGCCAGAGACAATCTTCGGTGTTTTAAGGAAGAGGCTGCCATGCTGGAGATCGAGCATCTCTCCTCTGAGCTTGTCCTCCACAACATCAACAAGGGCAAGTTCATCAGCCAAGTCCTACAAGAGACCAAGATGAAATGGTAAGTTTATTGCCTCTTTCAGCAAAGCCTCCAATTTATAAACTGTCAAGTTACAATTATTTTAAAGCAGTGATTTACTTAAGCAATTTTGCTCATCTCTAACACTTCTTTCCAGAGTCCTTAAATTAGTCTATTGGGGTATCAACTTTCTTGAGTTGGTTTCATACTTTTCATAACCACATTCTGTGTGAAATAGTTGTACAATTTAGCAGGACAATAATGAAGAATAATTTAATAGTGGTTCATGAGCAACCTATTTGACAGTTAAGTAAAGCAAGTCTGGTGTTAACCACAACATTTTCAGTATGATAATGGACTGCAGAGGACAAGTCATTCAGAGTGTTGAGAAACAGTTTTTTCCAGACCACACTACAAATAATTATTCCACTGCCCACTCTGCTGAAGACAAAATGACTCCTCAGTTCTTAATCTGTGTGTTAGAGACCTCCTACTTAGAAGGGAGCCTGGAAGTCCCTCAAAAGTAAGTGCAGCTCTAAAAATGATACATGAAGTATGTTCTGTCTGATAATAAGGCAGACTTGATTTACAAGAACTGCAGCTCCTTGTTTGCTGTCAACAGCTTGAACACCACTGCTTCACTCCAGGCCCAAACAAAGGAATGTATAACCAGAGGTTCATCTTGTGTGCTTAGTCTAATAAGGGAGATTATTTTTGTCCTCCCTTTTAGGCCTCAGGTTCTTCTGCTTCATCCCAAGCTTGGCACTTACCTTCATCAGGACGCTGATAGCACAGGCCATTCCAACTGCACCCACACCAACCACACTGATCTTATTCTGGGCATGGCTCTGGTCCTGTTTGTGGAGCGTGTGAATGAGCTGATCCTTGAGAGACATGGTGCACTGCTGAAGGGAAAGCAACCTATCATTTCTCCAAGCTTTGGAGCTTTTACTGACATCAGAATACTCATATCAAGCAAGACAGACTTTATTCCAGGACGGCACAAAAATGGATATAAACCACATGCCTCAAATGTCTGTCAATACTGCCCATATGCGGTAACTGAATTATTGATGACAGTTCTCTGGTTAAGCTCACTATAGCTTTCCCTCAAATACAGCCCGAGACCCACTGATTACACAGCATGCTCCAGCAGCAGCATGAAATTCTAAATGCCCATCCATATTACATTTAGGTACAGGAAGCCATTTTAGTACTTCTAAGCACAGCAGAGTCTGGCAATCTCTGTTCTCCCGCCCTGAAAAACTGGTATTCTGTGCCCTGAAGCCTTTCCAGAGCTATAGTTGTGCAACAGTTAGGCAAACCCTTCTTAAGCACAGCATGATCCTCCCAGTCAAGTTTATGAGTTTGTTTTCAAGTGAAACTGCAGAGTTTTGAATTAAGATGGCTACAGACTGGTGCTACCATCTCCCCCACCCTGCACAGCAGCCTGGTTATGTGGGTGCTGACAGCCAGGGATGTGCTGAAATGGCACGGAGGACTGCACGTTCACCTCCTGCTCCAGGCAGAAGCCAACATCACACATTCCCAGATGGTGCTGCACTGGGAGCAGCCCTAAGAGCCCAGGGCAGGAGCAGCCTCGCAGATGGATGCGAGTACAGACACAACACGACTCAGAAGTTGGTGCAGAACAGGCAGCAACTCGTTCAGCGCAGCAAAAGCCGAGCAGAGCAGACGAGAGCTGAGTTAGGGGCGGAGGGAAGGAGGGGCAGGAAGCCAGCAGAGTCCATATTTAGGAAAAATCAACCAAGCTGCGTCAGTCTTCATAGAACCAACCATCAGGGTTGGAGGAGACCTCGAAGATCATCGAGTCCAACCATTAATTTGCCACTCTGCTGGAACCCCTAAACCATATCCTCCAGGGTCAGATCCAGATGATTCTTAAACATTTCCAGGGATGGTGACTCCACCACCTCCCTGGGCAACCTATTCCAGTGCCTGACCAACCTAACAGGGAAAAAAAATTTCCTAACACCCAATCTGACTCTCCCCTCTACCAGTGCAGTGCATGCTCCATGTGCCAAGTTCTCCCTTCGGCTGATAAGAAGCACCCACTCACCCATTTCTCCTGCACTTAATTCTCAAAGCTTTTTGCTTTCAGAGTGCCACGAAAGAAGCAAGTTAGGACCGCAGCACCTGATATATTTTCACCTCTATTTCAAAGCCTCCCATCTCACTGCAGGGTCACTCCCTAAGGCAAGTTAATCCGCAGAGGCTCAAGGGGATGGAGGGGACGGAATTGTGAGTCAACATCACAAAGCAGGGCGCGATGTTGGGATCAAACCTCGATATCTCCTCGCCCGGGGGGACACGGGCGAGCGGGGGGCG